CAATTGCTAAATTTATAGAATAGATATTGCGCAATTGTACCTTAATAAAATGAAAATAATCTATTTGCCAGATTTCATTTAGATTTATATTTAGGGTTAGAAAAGTCAGCATATATAGGAATTTTTTGTTTGGACACGAAGATGATTTGATTTTTTTTTGAAATTTTGATTGCAATCTGATTGACCTGCGAAGACAAATAGATTTTCCCATTATTTTACTTTAAGACGGTCTTGTTAATAGAATTTTATTGTATTTTTTTTTTTTTTTTTTGAGTTCAGACATGCTTGAATATCTGACATCAAGAATTAAGACATTCTCACAACTGACTGTGACGACCAATCCAAAACGTTAATGCTTCGTCAAACTGCGTTGAAGTTACCCTTTAAAATAATAAGAATACATACTTAAAAAGTCAAGAAGTCCTCAATCGCTGTTCAAAAATAATAAATTTTGAGACATTACTACAAATCTGTGTTTGTTTTAATTTTATGGAACCTGGCCAACAAATATCATTAGAAAAAACGTCTAAAAAAATGGTTATTACAATTAAAGGTTCATTCGATTTTAAATAAGAATGAACAATAATTTGATCGCTTTTATGACCCATTATACATATTCTCCTGGGTTTTAACCACGTAATTCTGGTAAAGAATATCCATAAATGAAGTGTCAGACTAGTATTTGTCATTTAAAAGTAGTAAATAAGCATTTCGGTTCAAAACAATGCTAATATTGAAAGAAAAGATTTGAACTAGTTAAGAAAGAACTATAGTGTCTTCACACCTGAATTAAATATAAATATCTTTGAGTAAATTCAGGCTTGCTCATTATCTTTTGCATACGATTTCCACGTTGATCATTTCTATCCAGAAATCCAGAAAGAGAAGCAATGGAAGCATCGAGAACCTGTGAACGTTGTAAACCTTGATTGTTTTCTCCAAACAGGGTCGTCGATGTAGTAGGCACATGATTTGATGTATTTGTTAGCAACGTAGGCATCGATGTCTTGGCAAATGACGGACCTGTGTTCATCATGTAATGATCATGAGAAGTAGCATCCCCTGTTAATGATATTGGCTGTGGTAAGGGTGTTGATGAGATATAAGGATTTGAAGCTATTCCTGTTGATGAATTATTTGCTGGCTGACGAAGTAAATCCAAAAGTAATTTTCCATCAAGGGATTGATTTGGTGGTACAGGCGTAACCTATATAGACCCAAATAAATTTAGTTATTAAAATAGATAAGAGCTTTAAATTAATACAATAACCATTCCCGTTTTTACTGACAGAGGGTATTGATGTATGTATTGAAGATTCAGTGCGATTGGTATTCTGAAACAACTCGCCAATTACATTTTTATGAGAATGATCATCTGATTGTACATTACGTTTGGATGACGTCATTCCATTGATTTGTTTTATTTCAGCCCGTTTTAGAAGATCCACAATATCAATTGGTTTTCCATAAGAGTTTGAATTCGTTGTTTGGGTGAATGATATTTTTGAAGATTGTTCTAGCTGCAGTGACATACTGGCAGTCTTTGATAATTCACGACATCTAAAAGCAAATGCGAAAAAATTGAGAAGTTAAGGTAAGATCATTAATAAACCTTTTTTTTAATAAAAATCAACTTACTCCCACAATTGCTTTCTTATTCGCTCCCTATCTTTTGCTTCATATACCCAAATACCATGAATATTATCTGTCATGTGAAACAATGATGAAGCAACATAATCCAGCCAATGATATATCTTATAATAAATTTAAAAAAAAGCATTGAATGATACCATCGTCTGTACGATATATAATATATTCGTCTTTAAATTCAAGCTCCATGCTATCTGTTAAAGGAGCCATAAAATTATCGATGCCTAACCGATTCATAACAATAAAACCATATGCAGGCTGTACGCATCTAGATATGAATTAAAACTATTGTAATTTTGGAAATCGTCGATATTGAAGCACACGTATTAAAATCTGGATACAAACCTTCTAAAAACAAACATTGTGCCTTCAACACCCTTCTTTGTCTGCCAATTTTGTTGTTGTTTTTTTTTTAATATTCGGAACCCGTCAATTATGTTTAGAATCCGTGATTTTCGGGCCATAAACCTTTTTTTTTGGTTGACAAACGTTCAACATACCCATGCAGATTGCTCATGATCAAACTTATATACAACGACATAACTTGAGCTATCAATAATCTCGACAATGTTCTCGTCGTGTCGGCGCAAAACATTCAAGTTAACGGCTTTTCTCGCGAGAGGATCCATGTTAAGTTTAACAAATTAAGTTCTAGCCATTGCAATTAAACTTGATGGCACGTGCAGACTATCATATGCAGCCATTTTATCCAATCAGAGGCAGCCTTTATCATTAACTGTTATGATTTGAGTGCATAAGAGTGAAAACCTGTAACCAATCATAGTAAATCATTAATTTCTAATGTTACCCTCAAATTTGGGCGCAATACGAATACGTAACTTTTTTATTAA